CCTCTCCGGTGGCCATCTTCATCATCCCGGTGCTCTCCATGACGAGGAGGGAGTAGTTCTCCCTCGGGGCTGAGGGTATGTACCAGTAGCTATGTGTTTGATCTCTCTCTCTCTCTCTCTCGTGTTCTTGAGGTGATACGATCTTGATGTATCGCGATCTTTGCCATTATAGTTGGATCTTATGTTTCTTCCCACCTCTACTCTCTTGTAATGAATTGAGTTTTCCCTTTGAAGTAATCTTATCGGATTGAGTCTTTAAAGATTTGAGAACACTTGATGTATGTCTTGCCATTGATATCTGTGGTGACAATGGGATATCACGTGATTCACTTGATGTATGTTTTGGTGATCAACTTGCGGGTTCCGCCCATGAACCTATGCATAGGGGTTGGCATGCGTTTTTGTGGTGATTCTCCGGTAGAACTTTGGGGCACTCTATGAGGTTCTATGTGTTGGTTGAATAGACGAATCTGAGATTGTGTGATGCATATCGTATAATCATACCCACGGATACTTGAGGTGACATTGGAGTATCTAGGTGACATTAGGGTTTTGGTTGATTTGTGTCTTAAGGTGTTATTCTAGTATGAACTCTAGGGCTGTTTGTGACACTTATAGGAATAGCCCAACGGATTGATTGGAAAGAATAACTTTGAGGTGGTTTTGTACCCTACCATAATCTCTTTGTTTGTTCTCCGCTATTAGTGACTTTGGAGTGACTCTTCGTTGCATGTTCAGGGATAGTTATGTGATCCAATTATGTTATTATTGTTGAGGGAACTTACACTAGCGAAAGTATGAACCCTAGTCCTTGTATCAACGCATTGCAATACCGTTTACGCTCACTTTTATCATTAGTTACCTTGCTGTTTTTAAAATTTCAGATTACAAATACCTTTATCTACTATCCATATTGCACTTGTATCACCATCTCTTCGCCGAACTAGTGCACCTATACAATTTACCATTGTATTGGGTGTGTTGGGGACACAAGAGACTCTTTGTTATTTGGTTGCAGGGTTGCTTGAGAGAGACCATCTTCATCCTATGCCTCCTACGGATTAATAAACCTTAGGTCATCCACTTGAGGGAAATTTGCTACTGTCCTACAAACCTCTGCACTTGGAGGCCCAACAACGTCTACAAGAAGAAGGTTGTGTAGTAGACATCAGGCCTCAGAAGCACCCTCATCTCCTCAACGATCGTGAGCTTCTGGTGGCTTTACATCAAAAGTAGGATAGGCATCATGACTGGCTGAAGCGTCATATGCAGAGTATCTTGGTGGATGTCAATCGCATTCGTAACTTGGCCACCAAGAACACTTTTGTTCCACATGAATCCTGTAGGCATTCCTGGAAGAGCCTGACATTGCTTTGTTCTGAAGACGATCTACGCGCAGATGGCTTCACAAAGAACTTCAAGTTTGACTCCAGACCTCCCCAAAATGCAAGCTGGCGTCGCACTCCCTCTATTGAAGATTATGAGCATTCATCTTCTTCTGCAACTGTTGTTGCGAGAGTCATCGATGAAGAAGATGACGCCACTTTACCAACCTTGGCTGCACTGCATCACGATTCTGCGTCAGGCCCGTCTGCACCACCAAACTCCAGCATCGACCCTGCTCCATCTTCTACTCCAGCTGGAAACGAGTAGATCCTCTATGTCTTCAAACCCTTTTGGTCCTTACTGACGAAAGGGGGAGAAGCGTATGAGGTTGATAGTCTTCAAGCAGGTCCATATGGGATGGTTGCATTATTTTTTCTAAGTTCTTACAACTCTCGTTTTGAAATGATTTGGTTTTTGAGTTGTAACACTTAAACTTGACGGTCGTATGCTACTTTTGCTGCTACGTTGTGATGCGATGATAAATTCCGCATGAAGTCATTTTGCAGACGCCCATTTTATATTGTGCATGTCATTATCTTTGTTATGTTTATATATGCATGATGAATTGTCTTCGTAAGTTGAATAGGATCTCCACAAAGTAAAACCTGCCATGTGCATTTGCATTCAAAAGCAAACTACTTATATGCACATCTTCAGGGGGGAGCCTTTTGCAACTTATGAAGACAATGCCTTATCCTTCACTCTCACATACTTTTATCCCCGTTGAAAACTTCAACCAGTTTGTCATCAATCACCAAAAAGGGGGAGATTGTAAGTGCATCTAGTACCACCCCTAGTTGGTTTTGGAGTATTGACGACAAACTTGGTTGAGGGACTAATGTGTTTGTGAGAATTGCAGGATAACATAGGTAGTAGTCCCTTATTGATTCGGTTTACCTACCAGAGATGACCCCTAAAAATGTGTGAAAACATTGAAGATAATGGTGTTCATGAAGACATTCACGATGAAGATTATGACATGTGAAGACATTCACTTGAAGACTATGGAGTGCGAAGACATAGTTGTTTCGCAGTTTCCTTTTCTTCTTTGTTGAGTCATACGAACCACCGTACTATTAAGTGGGGTCCAAGTGAACAAAGTCAGAGTGACTGAAGTGATGCTCAACCTAAATCCTATGTCTTCGAGCGAAGACAATGAGAGCAAATCTTATCCAGAGCTGGATGAGTCAGCTTGGCTTGTAGCCCAAGTAAAGCTCCCGCGTGTGTTTGAAATCCGACCGTTGGACACGTGTCGGTTCCTTAGTGACCTAGGATCATTTTGTACAAATTAGATTGGGTTGTGTCCTGGCTATAAATAGCCCACCCCCTACACCATAAATTGGTGGCTAGTCAGAGTTAGTGCACGGCTTTTGTCATTTGAGAGCAACCCACCTCCGAAGCATTTGAGAGAGAGAGATCCTTGCGAGGACAAAGACCAAAACACCCAGAGCCAAAGAGTGTTAGGCATCACTAAAGTCTTTATCCGCATGACCTGAAGACTTTTTACACTTGAGGATTGTGAATCCTCCAGCCGGTTAGGCATCGCGTTCTGAGCATCCAAGAGCCATTGTGGATCGCTGGTGAACGAAGTCTGTGAAGGTTTGGAAGTCTACCTTGAAGACTTACTAGAGTGATTGGGCGAGGACTGGATGTCCTTAGCTCAAGGGGAATAAGTTGAAGACACGGTCTTCCGAGTTAAATCTCAGCCTCCCTAACCAGACGTACAGTTGTCACAGCAACTGGAACTGGTCTACCAAATACTTGTCTTCACCAAGCAACTGGTTCTATCCTCCACTTCCCTTTACTTTAGAGTTTGTCTTCGTGAAGTCATTGCCTGCTTGTCTGATCTGACTGACTTCACTGAGTGAAGACTATATACTGTTTGGCTTCATATCGTCTTCCATCCTGATCCATACTACCTAACTGCTGATAGTCTTTGTGCTTTCACTTCATTGCTTACTTGACTATGACTTGTCTAGTGTAGTCTACCTTCCGCTGCATATTAATAGGTTCATTTCTACTGTTTGTCTTCAAAGACCTCATGTTTTGAAGACTTTCATAAAAATCGCCTATGCACCCACCTCTAGTCGATAACTAGCACTTTCAGATGTGATCACCCATGTTCTCAAATTTCAGATCTCTCACAACATCTTCACCCTCACCCTATACGATCATGTTGTGCATGATCACACACCATCATGTCATCACCTCCCACAAGGTCTCTGAGTCCCATAGTTTAGCAGGTTCATCAACAACAACAAAATGGGATTGGAGCACTCCAAAAGCCCTCTCCACATCCTTTCTAGCTCCTTGTCTTTGGGTAAAGTGATTCCTTTTTTGAGCAACTGACTCATAGATGGTCTTGACTAATGTAACCCACGGAGGATAGATACAGTGTACAAATAGTGGCCCATGTTGTAATGATGTCCATTGCTAGTGTAGTTGGAAGGAGGAGCTTGTCCTTCAGTCAACTTAGCAAACGATGGAGATCGCCGTAGCATATTGATGTCACTGTGAGACCCGAGCATGCCAAAGAAAGCGTGCCAAATCCAGAGGTCATGCAATACAACTGTGTCAAGAATGATGGTGGGCTTCTTAAAATGGCCTTGATATTGCCCTTCCAGAGCTTTTGGGCAATTCTTACATCTCCAGTGCATGCAGTCAAAATATCTGAGCAAAGCTAGCCATCCTCTTGCATCGGACATTGCCAAGAGCCTCTTGGTTTCCGCAGCAATTGGTTGTCTCAAATATCAAGGTCCAAACACCCTGAAAGTGAGGGACACTTGAGACGACCTCGTCACTGACACGAATCTTAAATATATGCTTTTTCTGCTTACCATGAGACACATAGATGTTAAAAAGCATAGTTATAGTGTCCCTACACCCTACCCCCTGTGCGGAGCCAGTAGAAATGCACCCGTTGCCGAGCGATGGAATGCTCGAGAGAGGTTAGCCCCAAATAAGCCATCTTCAGTTTGCGTTGCAGCCATGCCTCGTCAAGCGAGAGGGGCCTCTTGTCTTGCGCCCCATCAAGATCGAGCGATGAGCTCATGTGCAAGCAGCAGGTGAAGAGAGATATTGTCGATGTAGCGCGTACTCCAACTTTGGAGACATCATGCCATGAACTTGAGGCACAAGTAGATACGACGAAAGGGGTCCGGATCTGGCTCCTCGGAATCCCAAGAAGCAACAACTAACTCGAGGAAGCTGTCCATCTTATGCCAGAAACGCTCAAAAGGAAAACATGTGGGGTGGCTAGAACAGGGCACACAATCCACAACGAGGGAGCAATGATCGACGGTGGTCGAGGCCAAGCTGCGCAGCAGATAGTATGGGTGCGAGACCTCTCAACTTGGCATACAGAGAACGCGGTCATTGTGCATGAGGGAGGGTTGTCCTGCTCCTTGGACTGAGTATGAGGTAAATATCTCGCAGCTCCATATCAACCACGAAGCGGCGGAACTGGCTCATGAAACGGGGATGTAACCGACCATTATTCGACCATTATTTGAGACTACTACCTTGTACTTGTATACATGGATAGACGGCTTAAACATGGTGGAGATTGTACCACATATGTCTATGACACTTTTTTTTTTGAGAGCTAGTATAAGCTAAATGGGTTTGCCTGGCCCGCTGCACGAGCCCCCGCCGCTGCCGGACTGGTCTGACGGGGCCTTCCTGATGGATATGAGGCGGCGCTTATTTTCCATCTTTATGTCTTTCTCAATGTACTTCTCCCTGCACTCCATGGTGCAGAATGCAAACTCACTCCTGCATAAGACATGCAAAGGAATTGGACCATCATGTCACAGACATCTCCAACGAATAAATTTAACCTTCTGTTATTGCAGTGAAGAAACCATGTATTTTGTTAGTATTTATTTATTTCTCTCTGGTTGATGACACATTGTGGCAATCAAAGAAATACGAGCGTCAGATGGTAACGAGTGACAATTTTATGGCATGATAATCAAACAACAACTCATATGATTGGCTGATTAATATTCTTTATTTATTGCGTTGCTTAAGGGAGTATATATGTAGTCTTAACTCTTGGCTAGAAAACTAAATCTAAATGAACCCCCCTAAAAAAAATCTAAATGCATCCCAATAATTTTATATTTTGAGACAGGGCAGTTCGAGCATAATTCAGCGACCAAAATTAAAAGAAGAAAAATTATCAGGCTATGAGCACCCATGCCTCAATAGTACATATCTGATTAGCAAATACATACGGAGTATTAATAATTAATTAACATGGCAGATGAAACCAAAAATGTATCGGCAGCAATTAACATGCTGAGGAAAAAGGTTTGCATCGAACATTCCTCTATAGTATGGGAGAGCATAAGATTCATGCTATGAACTGCTTATATTAGTAGCATCTATTGACTGCTTATACTAGCATCGAATCAGCATTACCGTTCTAATGAACGAGGTTCGTCAAATTATTACAGAGTACTTGTCTAGATTAAATTATTACGGAGTACTTGTCAAATTATTACGGAGTACTTGTCACTAAATTTTCATAAATGAAAACGGATCCTGAATAACCCGCTTACATAACCGTGGGGAACCACGATACCATCACAAAATCGTAGGATGCCAGCAACATCATAGGAAGATTCGATCAGTTGCAACCTTGACGTGGAAAACGAACGAACGGCGCGGAATTCACATCAGAAAGTATCCTAGCCAAAAATCACCAGGAAGCTACCGAAAAAGACAAAACTGAAACACAAGGCCGAAGCACGAGAATTCCGCCGGACATTTCCACGCTACGACGAACAAAAAATGGGAAAACAGTGACGCTAGTACCTGTAGATATAAGCATCCTTGCCAGCGAGGGGTTTGGCGCAGATGCCGCAGGCCGCCAGGAACGCCGCCGTCATCCACAGCCCGGTAAATGCGTCCCTCTTCAGAGAGTGGTGGCCGCCGCCTCCGGCACCCATCTCCTCGGCGCAAGGCGACACAAAAAAGATCGGCCTCGTGCGTGCCTGCTTGTTGTCGCCGCTCACCTGGCGCACCCGCCTCTGCACCGACGGCATGGACGCCAAGCTGACCTTCCGGCGCATCACCATGCTCCTCGGCCGCTTGTTGAGCATCTCGTCGAACCGGGTCCGTGCGGATCTCGCTCGCTCGCTGGTTTCCGCCCTGCCTATGTCAATCTATATTTCAGTACGGTGGCCTTTGTGTCCCAAGATTTGGAGAGAGACTGGATATTGGGGAGAGGGGTTTTGGGGAGGAGGAACGGGGAAGGGGCAGGGGCATAAAAAGAGGAGGGCCGGGCACGTGAGCCGTCCACTCCCCACTCTAGACACCTGGATGCTTTTGATCTCGTGATTTATGATATGGAATTATAGCGATTAAGGCAGTTTGTTAGAGTTACCCTCGCGCCGCCCACATGTATGTGTGCGGTAAAACCATCCGGTCTCTGTTATTCCATATCGGGCAATGGCTACTCTATGCTATACGCATGATGATTTGGTTTTGCTGAGGTAGAGTGAAAAATCAACCTTTTTTAGATAGAAAAATAAACCAACCAATGTGTGATATTTGGTGTTAAACATAATAAGGAAACACATTATTACGAACCACATTGCTTTTTTATTTAGTCGAGTTGTTTTATTTTCATTAATCTATATATATCTGGTGGCATGAAAGTTTCGCGGCGCCACATTATCATGCGAGATATGGGGGCTGCACAAGCCGTCGCTACGCGTGACTGACCTAGGTCAAGGAAACGGCAACGGACTATCGATAGGGCTGCCGAAACCGTCAATGCGCGTGACTGGCCTAGATCAAGGAAACGGCAACGGACTTTTGACAGATTTGTGGGCTGCGGAAACCGTCGGTATGCACTGGCCTAGATCAAGGAAATAACAATGGACTTTTGACAGATATGTGGGCTGCGGAAACCGTCGCTATGCACTGGCCTAGATCAAGGAAACCGTAGCGGAGATTCGGTTGTGTTCACTCGAATATTTTTCGGGAGCACTTTTAATATAGGGGTGTAATGTGGCTCGATAGATCGACGTCAACTTGTGTCTCACGTTTTCACTGAAGCACTTATCCGACACGTCATACATCCGGCTTCGAGCTAGAGTACGACTTTTGTTTTGTCTTTTGCATGCGTTATGATAGAGATCATGGCGATAAACAAGGTTTATGTTACGGTTTATATTACATCGAAAGTCAAAATTATGTGCCCTTTAAGATTTACAACATCAAAATAATTTTATCTAGTCTCAACATGAAACTATTTATACCATTCTGTTTATTCGAATTTCAACAATACAACAAACACCATCTAGTACACAAACTACGCCTAAACACTTGGGCGGTTGTTGCTTTTTGCTCATTCGAGTGATGTAGAATTTGAGCACTTTAATTAAATCATAGCGTCCAAACTAAAAGCGATAGCAATTCTATAAAAGTTGACTCGGAGGATAGTCACTCGGTGCCTTCAGATGGTTGTACTTGTAGTGTCTTGTATGTATTCTCATCTAGTGCATCAATACCTTTTTCCTCATATACGGAAATGCACCGTGTTCTCACCTAGATTAGTTATTGTTAATAATAAAAATATTAGTAATGCACTAAATTACTTTATCTTTTCCCTGATTATTCACCGACTAGGTGAGGTTCCAAAAATCACCCCCTTCCATCCCTAGACTCCCCACCCACCCCCACTGTGGCAGATCACGAGAATCCAACACAAGGTCACATTATCGTGACCAAATATATGTTATTTAGTTTGTTGGTTTTTGTTTTCATTAATGTTTGTTATATATGTATATGGTGGCAAAGTTTTGTAGTTACTGGATCAATGGTATCGTATTTTGGTGCCTCACTATAATGCAAGACATGTGGGCTGCACAAATTTTCTAGATCAATGAAACCATGACCGAGTGTTGTCTATGTTGGCCCATGGTTCCCTCCTA